CTAAAACTGTAGCCCATAGCAGCTAAAACTCCCCAGTTAAGGTAACACTTCCCCCCCCCACCCCCACCAAAGAGGGGCCAGGTTTGATCCTATGCACAATAACCAGCCATGCACAGACCAACTGAGCTCTATCTCTTCCATTAGCAAAGCACGGTGCAGGAAGCAGGCATGAGGTAATATGAGACAATAGCTCTTTCACAACCATTGGGGTCCTATTATCTCCTGCCTTTATGCCACAGGCCAATATTTACTATGTCTGTCTTTATTTTTAAGGCAATCCTTATCTCTTGCACCCTGTGCAGTACTTTGCACAAGGATGGCCAGAGCTTCCTCAGATCAAGTGATGCCTCATGGCTCGGAAGTGCCCTCCTTCTAGTTCACTCTAATACTTTCATAACTTTGCAACTTTGCTCCCACTCGTTTACTTGCAGTAGCCATAAGGGAAGATTATCTAATACAGCTTATTTAATTTTGACCAGAACATTACAAATAACAATATATTGATTGTAAACATTAACTAAAAAGGATCACTATCAGAGCTAGTGAAATACTTTTGAAACTTTTTGTAGGATTTTTTCACAAATCAATTCACTATCAAGATATGTAGTATTTGGCACTTAAAAAATGAAAAAATCCCTTTGAATGTTCTTGTAATTTAATATTTTGCAGATGAGTTTTCTTTTTTTTGTGGCCAGTGTCCTTAAAACAAGACTATTTTACATTCATTCCTATACTATGTTCATTTTTAGTTTCATACTCACAAATAAGGTCAATAGGTGTCCTGCTATGCATAAAGTTAGACACATCTATAGTGGTTTGGCGGTTCAGAGCTTTAGACATTAAAAATTTGTCCACACTCATCTGGAAAGCCAAGGATCCACTTCTATTTATACTGTGAAGGTTTTGCCAAGGATATCACATTTCTTTAATCCCAGTTTCCTGGAAAGATGCTAACACTTTCCCTGCAGAGTGTGGATAGCCTAAAATGTGGAGGCAATAATAATCAGTGGTTGATGGAATACAGGCTTGTGTTTTAAGAAGCTTATTACCATCCATGATCCTCAGCTTTCTTACGACAATTTAGTCTCATAGTTCTAATGCATTAGTATAATGTGACAATGTCTGGACTACAAGTACTCTGGAGGAATGCACAAGAGCCACAAAAAATGCTTTAAATCATATTAATTTAACTCATATTTATAGATAATTTACTTCAATCCCTATTGCAATTTGTAAAAAGCTTTTATTTTGCAAAAAAAGTTCAGTGCTCTTTGAGTTCGGAAGTCTTTCCTCCTAGCATGAAGTCGTAAAAAGCCTTGAAATGGTTTTTGTCAGGTAGAAGAGGAAACTGAAAGAAGTTGCCCAAATGGCAAGTGCTGTGCAACAAGCGCTAAGATACCAGCCATGCTTCCTAAGTTGCATCACCTGAGTTCCTGGGACTTCGTTTAAAGTCAAACCTAATTTCTTTGTCATCTGGAGAAAGGCTGATTGTAAAGCCACATTGTAACTTCAGGAATTAAAAAAAGTGGTAAGTCTATTCAAAGCAATACTGGATTCTTTTCCTTTGAATCCTGGTTCATGAGCTCTTCATGTGCTCAAGAGCTCCTTCGTAACATTAACCTTACTCTCTACATTCATGCAGAAAAAATAAAAAAATGTTTTTGACAGGTTTTAATTTGAAGTTGTAAGAACCAGCAGCTTAGACTTTAATTAAGAAATACTAGTAATTAAATGTTTTAGCAACAGTGATAGGGTCATAGTTAAAAGCTGAAGTGCACTTAGGGAAGTATAAAAGGGTGTAACAGGAGGAATCATAAGCCAGTTGTGTTGGGTTTCAAGAAGCAAACCAGTTGTTGTGTCAGTCACACACAGTCTGCTGCATATAAATCGGAGGTCTAGAATTACTTTAGAGCCTGGATGATGAGGCAGTAAAAAGGTCACAATTCTGAAAGTGTGGCTCCTGTTCCAAGAGATCATTTTACTGAATCTCTGCCATGCTCACCTTGCACAGAAAGAATATTTTTCATAGTCAGAAAACTGACATTGATTATCTGATCAAGCAAAAGACACTGTGGCAATTTTTCCACATAATATTCCCATTGCATCTGCCTAACAAGACAAGATTTATATGTCCTTTGGCTATTCCTGAAACTTAATTCCTTTCCTTGTTAGAAAATTCAAAATTATCTTGCCCCACTCTTCTGTATTCTTTGTCACTGAATTTCTTTATATTATATTGTGCCCATATCATGCTGGAATGCACCATCTGTTTCACTCAAACCACAAACACAATTTCAGATCCCTCTGAATTAGTTCTTTCTATCTAACTGGTCATTTGTTTTTTTCAGTGGTCCAGCTGATAATTCTTGACCACTGACAGAAGGTCTTTGGTATTATCTGTACAACTCACTCACAGTGACCAGCGCTGTCTATGTATGACTGATAGCAGACAAGGAATTGAGGGCTCTCTGGCTCTTTCACCCTGCTGTGAGTGTGAACAACTGCAGCTGATTTGGTGCTGTGGCTCTCATAGGAGTGAAAGAACTTATCCTACATTATTCCAAAGGAACGATGATAATTGTCAACAGATTGGGTCAAAAGTCAGGATTTCTGTTCTGCAAGAAACACATTCTGTTCCAAAACAGTTCTTTAAAGAATTTATAAAATTTGGCTGCTAAATCCCCCTACAAATACATTCAAAAGACTTCTGATTCTCGAAGTGAAAAACTCTTGGGCCATGAACGCCTTTGCCCCAATGCACCAGGCTTATCTTTCCCTCCAGGACACCTAACTGTCCTAGGGGACAGGCAGGAAGCTGGGCCGCTTCCATGTCACTAATAACCTTGTAACTTGGACTCAAACCCTAAATCTTCTCCTGCAGCAGGGGAGAGGCTGCAAGTCCTGGGTGCCCAGGATGAAAGTGACTTTTTCGGGGCTCCTGGGCTGCCTGCCATATGGCTTGGTTCTCCAGAGAAGTGGGCTGCATCTTTTTAGTGTCTAGTGCCAGGTTTGGTTTCTGAAGCCTCAAAACTTAAGTCACCAACACCAGCCTGAGTCTGTTTCAGCGCTAAACATGGCAGTAATTTATCACAGCCATTTGAGACTGTAGTAGCCAAGACAGCGGCAGGCCTCCCAGTTCCCTTTGCCCCAACAAGGTGCTGAAGGCTTGACACAAGCCTGGTTACTGAGGTCTTCAGACTCCCTGCTGGAGAGGTACAAGTTGGTAACTGGCCAGGTCCAGCAGACCTAATCTTTCCAGCTGATCTATTAGTTTTGCTGTCTTTGTTTCTCACGTATTTTACATAGCAAGGTTGCCCGAGGACCATAAATTGTGCACCCTTCAGTTCAAGTAGAAATTTCACGGTATAGTGAAACACTGATATCATCTTAATAATAGCTCAGTTGGTTAGAGCATGGTGCTAATAACGCCAAGTTCACAGGTTCAATCCCTGCTCACTGCAGGGGGGTTGGGCTCGATGATCTCTCAAGGTCCCTTCCCACCCAAAGCATTCTATGATTCTGTGATTCTAATCTGACTAGGAAATTGGTCAGGGACTAAGAGGGTGAAGCTGTCTCTCTTTCAGCAGAACTTTGTGCTGGTAATTTTCGTTTGAACGTTTTCCATTCTGATCAAACATGATTTCTGAACAGCAACAAAAAATTAATAGAACATTGCAATCCGCTTATAACTGAGAAGCACCTAAAAGCTGTCATATTCCTAGGCATCAATGCCACAGGTTTTACAGGTTATAACATTACTTGCACAATGGTATCTGAAATTCCTGACGTAAGCTGTGGACATCTGCAAAGGCAGATATCAGTAGTTTCCTATTACTGAGAATAATCTGTAAGAAAAACAGGAAAATGTCAACACATTCCATTTTTGCAACGCAGGATGACAAGGCAATGCTTACATAATCTATGATAAACCTTATTATATGTAGAAATAATTACTCCATACACTCGATTCAAATGGTTACAAATATAGATAATACCACAACTATTTAACTATGCTGTAGTACTTGTCAAGCATATGGTCCTAAAAATACAATCCTGCTTTTAAGCATGTATGAGACAGAGTTTAAACCAGGCAAAATCCCATATGTATTAGTAGAATTTAGCTTTAAAACCAGGAGTCAGGACATGGTATCTTATTACTGAAGAAGTAGGTGATTATGTGTAAATATTCTTAAACTACAAGATAGGACCTACTTCTGGAGAAAACTTTGGAAGCTGGACTTCAATCATGCACTTAATCAGCTACCATTCCCCAAGAAGATTGCCTTGAAGATTCCCAGAAGTACAAAAATGGCTTGATATCATTCCCAAGATATCTGAAGCTGGTAGGACTTAGTAGGCTTTGGATGCCCTCTTTAATTAATGAGAGCATTGCTAGTCATATTATTGTAATATTTAATAATATATTGACCATTTTGTTGCACACTGACATTGTTATTTTTTGTTTTCCACCACTAAAAGCTACTGAGATTGATTATTTGTGAATGATTGTAAAAATTAATGTCCTAAAATCCACAGGTAGATGTCTTAAATCATTGACATGGATTTTCAAAAAGGCTGAGCATCCATTGCTTTCTGTGTAGTCTGCACTTTTATACCATAATTATCCTTTGGATTGTGAAGATTTAGTGTAAAGGTCTTTGGGCAACATTAGAATTATGTATATTTTAATTTGGCATCTAACACATATCTGTCTTAATGTATGTACTGAATCAAAAAGTAAACAGATTGCAAACCACACTGTTTCCTTTTTACAATCCTTTCTCTTATCACAGTTTCTCATGCCATTCTGAAATCATATGAAATCAATAAATATTGGTTAGAAAATATTACTGTCTTTACTGTTTAAGCAGGCATACAATAGCCCAGGCATAAGTTAGAAATTCAAAAGAAAATCAAAGCAGAGATCTTGTCTTAACAGCTTTCATCAGCGCCAGTAGTTTCTTTTTAAAGACGACAATACCTTGCAAAGAGAAAAAAAAATGGTGAGTTTGAACTGGAGTTATTAAGGCAACAATGGTAAAAGCTATCTTTAATAGAAGATCAGATTTATTTATAATATACTGAATATCTCTTTTCCTTACAAAAATTCTTCAGAATTACATGGATTATTAACATATCAAGTATCTGTATTTTGTATACAAATGGTTCCAAGGGAAAGTGTCAAGAATTCAGCACTGGTACAGAATTCAAAGTAGAAACCTTCAATTACTTATTTATTTTGCCTAGGATCTGACCACTGGCACGAGTTACACCCTATTGCCAATGGAGACTGTCAATCTCCTATTGATATTAAAACCAAAGAAGTAAAAAAAGATGCATCTCTGGGGCTTCTCCAGATCACTAAGAAACCTTCCACATGCAAAGAGATTGTCAATTTTGGACATGCATTCCACATGAGTTTTGAGGATAAGGACAATCAATCAGGTTAGTAAAAAGGGGATCTGGAGAGGGGGTTGTGAGACATTTTCTTTTTTCATTCTCTTTTCCTCTAATTTATATAGAAAACAAGACTAGTTGCCTTTCAGGAGTGTTTATATAGATTAGGCATGCTTGCTAATTTTGTTATACTAGTTGGCAACACTCTGTAAGTGTCACAGAAGATCCAAATTATGTTCTTTAAAATTAGGACTTGTTGGCAAGTGGTCTTGTGTTAATAGCAAAAGGACTGGCAACTTCCCAGTAGGAAACCTCCAGGATAATCACTGATTTGGGGAAGGGAAGGTAGGAGGAGAGTTTCTAAACACAGTTACACAATTATGTGCTTTTTTTTTAATCAACATGCGGTGGGAGATTTATGCATATGTAAAAGTTACTCACAGTATAACCCCATATGAAATCACTCAGGATGAGGTTTTTTCCCTCAGCCTTTTTACATTGATAGCAAAGGAGGAGATTTCTTTCTGCTAATGTATAATATTGCAAGTGCTGCAAGAACTCCAGGCACATATTTCTAAGCATCATACACAATTACAGGTGCCTATCACCACAGTGGGAATCAATATGCATTTATGTGCTTGTAAGCAAGGAATCAATGATAATGACCAATAAACACTGTCAATAACATCTGCATACACCTGTGGCATCTCATAATCTAAATTCAGAAAATGTTGAGTACCCATAACTGTTACTTCTGTGAAGAAAGACACCTTTAAAATACTGTCATAAATAATAAAAATTTTAGTGGGAAGTGAATTCCATGAGGTAGTACTGTTTCTTCTACAGTTATTAAAATCCAATTACTGTTTCTGGCAAACTGCTGGTTTTCTGCATTAGTTTTCCTTTTGTTTTCTCTGTGGAGCAGAAGGTGTATTCACATATATTTCAACTGAATTTTGGAACCATATTGAGGAGCCATGCAGATTTGCTGTAACCAATGCACTCATATATATACCTAGAATTAAAACCTTCAATAACTTTGGCTTAACTGCACAAACTGTTTTGTTTTGGTTTTTTTTTTCCCTCCAAATGATTACAAATAATCTAATATCAAAACTTGTTAACATGGAGAAAACTGCTTGCACATTATAAAATCTTTGAAATCTATAACTTGTCTGTCATTATTCATTACTGATTAATGTTTTTACCTTACTTCATGCATTTGCAGTGCTGACAGGTGGACCTCTCAATGGAACATACAGATTGTGGCAGTTTCATTTCCATTGGGGCCAAACAGATGAGCAAGGCTCAGAGCACACAGTGGGTGTAAGGAAATATGCCTCGGAGGTAGAGTCAATGAAAGGAAAGTCAAAGTCAAGTTTTCAAAGTCTGGTCACATATATCATTCATAGGGAAAAAAAACCAAAAAAACAAAAAAACAAACCAAAACCAAACCATATGTAGATAGTTTTGATAATTATTTTCTTTTGCAAAAACAATACCATCTTTGCGTGTCCAAAGTTGACTTTGCAAGAGCAAATTGGGTTTTGTGGTCAGTACTTATTAATCTAAATCTAGATAATCTAAATTCATATTTAAATAATGAAATAAGGCTTAAAGGTGGTGGCATAAAAGTAAGTAACATCTGCTAAATGTTAAAAAGGTCAGCTGTACAAGTACATTCAGCTTAATACGAAATCAGCTGCTTTTTAGAAAGTCTGATCACCCAAAGCCCCACTATAATGGTAGCTGGAGCTCCTCAAAGGTACAAGCATGCTGATGACTGTAACATGGGGTTTTTTTCTGGCTTTTCAAGAACAGCACATAAGAAGGAAACCCAGAAGAAATTAATGAAGACAAAGAGGTAAAAAAGTTATCTAGTAAGGGCCCCAGCAGCTGTCAAGTACTTTAAATATCTTCAGATAATGAAGCAAGGTCTGGTTTGCAAAAATTAAAAACCACCTCTAAAGTAACAGATTTTATTTGTTTTCCAGTGTCTTAGTGTCCTGCTAATAGTTATCAACATGCCAACAAACAATTCATGTTCAATCCACGCAATGTTATCTTTGGCAGCTTTTTAGGTTTTAGGAACATTACAACATGACAATCTAATGAGAGGGATTATACATTTTTAATTTAGGCATTAGGAACACACAGCCAGAAGTGTGTTCCTAATAGGAAATTTTCCACTGTTGAGAGTGCTAAAGCTATCTCATTTGATACAGCCAAGATAAGAAAGGGGTGTCCCTTTAGAATTGCTTTCTGCTGTAAAGAGATAGTGCACTTAAGCTGCGTTTAAGCAGCACATGATTAAGTGTTTATTAGTTTGCTTTGAATCAATAGTTTAAATATGTTGAAACAGTAAAGATGTTAAGTTAAAAAGACAGGAATTCAGCTTCAAAAAATACCAGAAATTTTTAAAAAATCTGATTTAAATCAGAATTTTAAAATTATGTGCATTATATGGTAATTTCCATGTCCTGTCTCTATATTTTAGAATCTCCTTGTATTTTAAAGTTTTGATATTTTCTGTGACCATGTTGCTGAAACATTATACAAATAAACCTGGACTAGATTATTGCCATAGAGTTAAATAGTTGCTAAGGAATTGCTAAGCATATTCATAGTTGAGAAGGCATTTAAAGAAATTATGATTTCCAGGTTCTGCAAGTTTTTGGAAATTTGTATTTCACATGAAAAATAGCTCAAGATATAATAAGCAACATATTAGGATGAACAAAAGTTCCTCAAAACTCTATTAAAGTAAATACTCTCATAACTGAAAAGTTGTTGAAATATCTATATGGAATATAAACCATCCACAGCCATGATGTTCATGGCCATACCATCAGTCTTTTGCAGTAAATGGGACTGCTGTGAATAAATATTGCACCGTGTGTAGTAAAGTGGTTACACTCCTCAAAACGCTATTTAATGTATTACATTTTTAAACACATGGAAATAAAGGCATGCACAGGAGACTGTTAGCAGTAGAGTTAGAAGAACATATGTCCCTTTTAAGTTGTGATTTTCCATATCTCTGTGTACTTACCCCTAAATTGCTTTCAGGAATATGTGCAGTTCTGCCTACCCCAAGATAAAGCCTGGGTATGAGTCCTGACAATACCAGGGCAATTCAGCAGAACGCCATAAATCTGCGGGCGTTCACAAGCACATTCTCAGTTTCATGGTCAGACCCTAAGAGTGCAGAGTAGCGTTTCTAACTGTTTTACTCTAATTGGGGCATTTATTTGTAATAGAACCAGCAAAAATGATCCTGTCAATTGCTTTTTAGCTTCATCTCATTCACTGGAACACGGACAAATATTCGAGTGCAGCTGAGGCTCTTGACAAGCTGGAAGGCTTGGCAATTGTCACTGTTTTCCTGAAGGTCAGTTACTGACATACTCAAAACACATGTGTCTCTCTTCTCTTTCCTTATCAAAACTGCAGTCAGTGATGACGACTAGGAAAAACATGTCTTTGTCTTAAATTGGTGGAGATGACTGTCTCTTATCCTGATTTAGCCCCTGTTGCCAGCTTTGCCCATGCTTCTGCATGGATGTTTTGTGCAAATCCCCGTTTCATCCATAGGTCTTTCAAGAAGATCTGTGCTTAAAGGCATGAGTGCTAGTGAGCTTGTGGTGTTTCATCCACCTTTGTAACAGGCAATGCTCACACTTATTGTGTTTGCTTTCCACTCCGTTAACAGTGATGTGAACTTTCACAGAAAGATGGTTTGAGTCACATGTGCTATTACTGTCTGTCAATCAGAAGAGAAAATTCTACATCAGAACTCCAAGAAATCTTGAATCCATGCACATGACATATTTAGCCTTTCAAAACCAACTAGGCAGGAAAAATAATTCCTTATTACTAAGGACTTTGTTATATTAAGGAAATATATATTATTATATACTGCTAAAATATAATTACTAATAGTTCATGTTGCAAAAAAGATACCAGCAAACCCATCCCTCTGAATGCTTTCAAAGGGAATTTCAAGGATAAACACATATGATCAAAGCACTCATATACTTCTGAACCACAGATTATTTTCGCACTACTCTGCAAAGCAGAAGCAAAACTTTCTGTTATTTCCTCAAAAGTTCTAAATTTTGTCTCTTTCATAGTGGGTTTGCAAAGCTAAACTAATCAACATTTATAAAGCATATTCTTATTCTAGATTCTGTTAAAATAAAACTATTGTTAAGTATTTCAGATTTTAAAGTATTTTTTTATTTACAACTTAGCTTATGCAATGAAAACCTGAAGAGTGTCTTGAAGGCCTTGGATTCAGCAAAGACTAAGGTAAATGTCATCACAGCCTGATCATGATAATATACTGAGTAGTTAAATTAAAATCTACACAGTCTTTCATCTGCTCTTTTGAAGACTTCAGAATAATGCAGAGGCTCAGCTGAAGGAGGCTGTTGGGACGTGGGAGCTGAAAGCATGATCCTGGATGTGAGTTTATGGGATCCCATAAGATATTTTGTATTGCTGGGGCTCCACCCTGTAGACAGCTATGGGCTCTTTATGTAAGAGTAAGAGTAGGCAGTTCCTGATTCCTACCTAATCCTACACTTCCATTCATCTGTCTGTCTCTTTAAAATTACCCCTGATGTCCACCACCAGCACAGTCTCACAGTAACCAAAGTGCAGTTTCACTTGGTTGAAGGAGGGAAAAAAAGGGAGAAGAAATTTTACCAGAACTACACTTCTCTTAAGCTGTCTTGTAAAGCAGTGACTATTCACACTAAGCCTCTCATAAATGCACAAGATAAGCAGAGATAGAATCTGAATATCTGAATTTTAGTGAAGCATGTTAAAAATAAAATACAGCATCTCCCACAGGACTTTAAAAAGGAATGTAGACTTTGACTCTGAACATGCAAACATTTATCAACATGTGTGAATCCTCCCTTTAGCCTCAACAGAGAGCTGAAAATTAATTATACACTGAAGTGTTTTGCTTGCTCAGGAGCAGAGAGTTCAGTATTTTGAAAAAAAAAAAAACCCAAAACTCACAATCCTTTAGTCAGTGATGACTGAACTCTTTGGTATCTGATACCATTTTGGGGAAGAAGTTGTTTTTCGGTTTTTTTTTTGAGTAACACTGCTCATTGTTGGTGGTGCCAGCCTAGATGTATCTCAGTGCCAAACTTATCACCAGGGTGAGCAACTCACCTCTGATGCTATGAGAAAACACTAGTGTTTTGAAATTACCTCCTCTGATTTAGGTACACACTCCCTTGTAGCCTGAGATGTAAATCCTATCTTACTCATGGGTTTCCTTAACCGAGCATATCTTCCACAGGGTAAGCAAGATTCCTTTTCTGATTCTGATCCTTCAAGCCTACTGCCTAAATCCATGGATTACTGGACCTACAAGGGCTCTCTGAGACCTCTGGCATCTAGGTTATCCTTAAAGACGCAATTCGTATCAGCTCAGAGCACGTACACTTATGCTGAGTAAAAAACTGGCTGGATGGCTGAGCCCAGAGAGT